AAAAAAAAAAAAAAAAGATGTATTCAACTTACATCAGAACTGACTTTGATGAAGTCCTCAGAACGGAACCCTGTTGTAAGCTGGGGATGATGTGTAGCAGTTAATACTAAAAGATTTTGAAGTAGCTAATTTAATAACACAAGTTAAATATATCTCTCAAAAGAAACATCATCAATATACTTGTAACCATTACAAGTTACATTATTTTAACTGTCACTTAAATTTCATGACATAAAACATTAATATTAAAACTTAAGTTTACATTTTGACTAAAAATCTGGTAAGCTAAACCCAAACATGTTGCTGTCAAGTTGATTCCAACTCATGGCCACCCCACGTGTTACAGAGTAGAACCAAGCTCCATAGGATTTTCTTGGCTGTAATTTTTATGAAGCAGATCACCAGGCCTTTCTTCTTCAGTGCCATTGTATAGGTTCAAACTGCCAACCTTTAGATTAGTAATTGAACACAAACAGTTATACCACCCAGGGACCTAAAAGTCTGGGGGTGGGGGGAACCTCACTACCATTGAGTCAAATCTGATAGATAGCGACCCCTCCTTGGGTTTCCGAGACGATATCTCTTTGGAAGTAGATTGCCCAGTCTTCCTTCTGAGGAGTGGCTGGTGGATTTGAATCGCCAGCCTTCTGATTAGCGGTTAAAAGTCTTAGGCACTATGCCACCAGTGATGTAAATGAATTTGGAAAGGAATGATCCAAAATCAGAGGTCTTATTAAAAAATGAAGCTGTTGTCATATTCTAGTTTATCCAAATCACAGAAAGCATCTTCTGATGAGTGAATAATGGAAACAATAATTCACACTATATAATTTCCTGAGAAAGGGTAAAATTTATAACCATAAGTGTTTTTCTCTCATACACACACATTTATATTTATCTCATATAGTTTATAAGCCATTCAGAGGTAAGTTATGATGTCAAAGTGATATAAATGAAAGAAATGATAAATCTGACACTGAAAACATAATGCTTTGAAGAAAATGTTTTATCATAGTTGTTCTTCTAAATAATTTCCTGAAAGCACATTCCAAGTAAAAATGCTTTGAACTGTTCTCTATTTCATTGTGTATTTAGGCCAAAAATCAGACTTCGAATGCTACTTTTTTTTTTTTTTAAATGAAGAACATTACTCTTTGAAAATATTATAGATATCACTTAGATCTTAACTTTATTACTTTTTTTTTTTTAATGCTCTCCCAGGTGCCAGTTCATCAGATTCTGACAGTGAAAGTTTAGCTTTCAAATCAAAACCTGGAGCTATGCCACAGTAAGTCCCTGGATCTCCACTAATTATCACTATTACAGAGAATGCCAACAGAATTGTTGAGGTATGAAGCCATGCTTCTGGTGCTTTGAAGGGAAAGGTCAACTGATGTCAATCAAGAATAAAATATTTGGAGTTGAAACACAATTTATAACTTACAGATTCAAACTTTCAGGTCTGCATTTCATCGACAATATGCCAAAATCTAACCATATAGGATATTACTTTCAAAGACAGCTATCTAGCTAGTTAGAAATGTACAAAAAGAGCAGTTATGTTGAGAATATAATCAATTCAATCATGACTAAAATGTAAATGGGACCAATTTATTTACAAAGAGTGAAAAATATCGAATTAGTCCAGAAAGACATTTTCATCTGGGTAAAGTCTATTTCTAATTAGACTTTGTACAAGTAAGTTACAAAATTTAGTTCTTTCATCAAAGACTTATGGATTATTAGTAAAATGTTAACATCTCAGTTATTTTTTGAAAATAAAATCTACTAGAAATATGCAGAGAACTCCATTAAAATTGTTTAAGCTAAAAATTTAAGCTAATAAATTCCTTTGATCTGCTAGCATATACCTAACAATTCTATCCATTTGCCATCAAAGAACCACTAAATATTACTGCTAAAAGACCTTAAAAGATCATATGGTTTACCACTTCTGATTTTAGATAAGGAGCTCAAATGTCATTAGGGTACATGACTGACTTGAGGTAGCATATCCAGCTATTTTTGGCAAAGCTGGACCTAGAAATTAACTCTTCCTACTCCTTTCTTTATTCCTCACAAAACTTTCTGCATTAAGAAAGACACATTTCCAAGATACTCACAACTTACCAAAATTAGAAAGCAAAACAAAGAACAATTCCTAGACTTAAGCTAGACAACCGAAACTTTGAGTCAAATTTAACATGCTAATCCTAAAGATTTCAAATACTTGCTTGCTGATAAATACTGAGTTTTTCCTAATACATGAGGTTCTTTGATATAGTTTTTATCCAATATTTGTTTTCTTAAATATTTATAAGGTACATACACTATGTATTCTAACATATGGGTTCCTATTTCTGAAGCACATACAGCTGAAATGGCTTTTAAAAAAGAAACTGAGCTATTTCTGTAGAAGTGATTTCAAAGAAAAGTTCTACCTAAAAAAAATCTGACTAACATTTCCCTCCTTACTTTCCAGAGCTCAAAAGAAAACAACTTCAGTTTCCTTAACAATAGGATCATCATCTCCAAAAACAGGAGTGACCACAGCTGTGATTCAACCCCTGTCTGTCCCTGTTCAACAGGTAAGTGTGCCTCAGATAAGAGCCCATGATGAGTCTAACCCATTGACAATCTTTTTAGTTTAAGTAATAGATCTTTACCTCTAATTAGTATATTCTTTTGAAATATTTTCTAAGAGGTAAAGAACTGAAAGAAAAGAAAAATGGTAAGTAAACTTCTCCCCTTTAACCTACTAAAAATCATCTTTAAATCACAGCTCTATCACCAACTAGTCAATATATGCATTTCAGTTGGAACTTTTCTAATAGCCAATAACCTCATAAGATGGTATCTGTTTTACTATAACTATCTTATTATTCCCACACATTTATACTCCCTTCCATTTATCTAAATTCACTGGCTCATTTAAAATAAATTAAAAGACAGGCAAAGACCACATGCCAACATCTGCTGTGGACTAATAGGCTAATAAATTCCTTGACTCCATTATGTATTTTTATCCTGTATTTCTTTTTAAGACTGCTTTGTCCAAGAAAGACCAATACTATGAACTGAAACACTAGAAGATTATTTTACTGAGTTTACTTTGCAAACAACATGAAGTTAAAAATATTAAAATACTTCCTAAATCAAATGTATGTTTCTTTGCTTTTATGGAATAATATCCTTAAATACAACACACTCATAGAGGGTTTCCCACACACATAGTCTTGAGTCATAAACTCATTCCTAACTAATGAGTATGTCTTGTGATTATAATTAGGCCTTCTGTCAACCTTTATTATCTATTGAGCACTCACAGGTGTTTTAGTTATTATAGGCTGTGATATACTCTATGATATGTGGAATATGAACAGCAGAGAAAACACATTTGAGTTCATGAACTTGAAAAGAATCAACCGACATAGGTTGCTTAGAGATGGATTATACAGCAGAAATTTCCTTTAAACCCTTAAATCAGCACTGAATTTATAGAAATATTTTTGATTAATGGACATCAGTGGAGCTTTGGTATTTAAGGTATAAAAATGATAAGTATTTATTGACTGCTTAGCATTGTACTAGCCATTTCAAGATAGAAAAATAATCATCTGCCCCATTCCCAGTTTATAATCTGGTGTGGAAAACAGGAAATATCCACATGAAATGTTTCATAAATATAACAGAATATATTGGAAATATATTGAGAAGCTAAACCAAATGGAAGAAATGACAAGATAAAAGAGCTGAACAGAAGATTTCAAAGAGCAGCTCGAAAAGATGAAGTTAATTATTATAATGAAATATGCAAAGACCTGGAGTTAGAAAACCAAAAGGGAAGAACACTTGTCATTTCTCATAAATGAAGACAAAATTCAAGCCTCAAGTTGCAGTATTGAAAGATTCTATGGGAAAAATATTGACTGATGCAAGAAACATCAAAAGAAGATGGAAGAAATACACAGAGTCACTATACCAAAACCAATTGGTCAATATTCACCCATTTCAGGAGGGGATATATGATCAAGAACCAATGGTACTGAAGAAAGAAGTTGAAGCTGCACCAAGGGCATTGGTGAAAAACAAGGCTCCAGGAATTGATGGAATACCCATTGAGATGTTTCAGCAAATGGATGCTGTGCTGGTGGCACTTACACATCTAGGTCAAGAAATTTGGAAGACAGCTACCTGACCAACTGACTGGAAGAGGTTCATATTTGTACCCATTCCAAAGACAGGTGATCCTACAGAATGTGGAAATCATCAAACAATATCATTAATATCACATGCAAGTAAAATCCTGTTGAAGATAATTAAAAAACGGTTGCAGCAGTATATTGACAGGACTTCCAGAAATGTAAGCTGGATTCAGAAGAAGGCGTGGAACGAGGGATATCATTGCTGAAATGTCAGATGGATCTTGGCTGAAAGCAAAAAATACCAGAAAGATGTTTACTTGTGTTTTATTGACTATCCAAAAACATTCAATTGTGTGGATCATAGCAAATTATGGACAACATTGAGAAGAACAAGAATTCCAGAACACTTAATTGTGCTCATGAGGAACCTGTGCATAGATCAGGAGGCTGTCATTCAAACAGAACAAGGGGATACTGCATGGTTTAAAATCAGGAAGGGAGTGTGTCAAGGTTGTATCCTTTAACCATACTTATTTAATCTGTATGCTGAGCAAATAATCCGAGAAGCTGGACTATATGAAGAACATGGCATCAGGATTGGAGAAAGACTCATTAGCAACCTGAGAAATGCAGACAACACAACTTTACTTGCTGAAAGTGAAGATGACTTGAAGCACTTACTGATGAAGGTTAAAGACTACGGTCTGTGGTATGGATTACCTTTCAACATAAAGAAAATGAAAATCCTCACAACTGGACCAATAAGCAGCATCGTGATGAACGGAGAAAAGACTGAAGTTGTCAAAGATTCATATTACTTGGTTCCACAGTCAACACCAATGGAAGCAACAGTCCAAACTTCAGATGACATATTGCACTAGACAAATCTGCTTCAGAAGACCTCTTTAACATGAAGAGCAAAGATGTCTCTTTGAAGACTAAGGTGCGCCCAAGCCATGGTATTTTCAATCACCTCATATTCTTGTGAGAGCTGGACAGTGAATAAGGAAGGCCAAAGAGAAGTTGATGCTTTTGAGTTGTGGTATTGGCAAAGAATAGCATGGACTGCCAAAAGAACTAATGAATCTGTCCTGGAAGAAATGCAGCCAGAATGCTCCTTGGAAGTGAGAATGGCCAGACTTCATCTGACCTACTTTGGTCATGTTGTCAGAAAGAACCATTCCCTGGAGAAGGATATCATGCTTGGTAAAGTGGAGGGTCAACAAAAAAGAGGAAGGCCTTCAAGAAGATGGATTGACACAATGGCTGCAATGGTGGGCTCAGGTATAGCAAGGATTGTGAGGCTGGCACAGGACTGGGCAGTGTTTTGTTCTGTTGTACATAGGGTCACTATGAGTTGGACCTGACTTGAAGGCACCTAACAACAACAACAATATTAGGGTGTAATCTAGAAGTCTATGTACAGAAAAACACATGCATCTAACTATATAAATACTATAGTTATGTAAATGGTACACTTTTAAATAGTGTAAATTCTACAGGAACACTGAGCAGAAGATAACATATCCCAGCTTTATAGCTGGAAGAATGAAAGTTTCAGAGAAGCGCACACACTGTGACATAATGCTTAAAGCTCTGGGACCACATGGCCTAGACTTGAATCCTAGCTATGCCAGTTACGAACTATGAAGCCTCTTTGTCACTAGCTTCTTTTCTGTAAAATGAAAATAACAGTACCACACATCTCAGAGGTTGTCATGAGGACTCAGTGAGGAAGTATTTATATGATCCTTAAAACAGTGCCTAGAACAGAATAAATGCTACAAAAGTGTTTGCTATATTCTTTGGACATAACTAGTGAAAAGACCCAGACCTCCTGAATCACAATCCATTAAGAAATTATACAGGGTTAATGAACAACATCCAGTACCATGCTGACATCTCTACACCTCTGCCAATGTTCTCAATGACATCCTATCAAAAGCAACAACACAAGGCTAGCTGCCTTCAGTTTGGACTCCAACTCATAGCAACACCCCGCACAATGGAATGAAACACTCCCGGGTTGTGCCATTCCTGTGATCAATTGGGGATCAGACTCATTGTGACCACAGGGTTTTCACTAGTTGATGTTTGGGAAAAGATCACCAGGCCTTTCTCTCTAGCCCATCTTAGTCTGGAAGCTCTGTTGAAACCTGCTTAGCATCATAGCAACACAAAAGCCTCCACTGAAAGACAGGTGGTAGCTGCATGTGAGTTGCATTAGCTTAGAATCGAACCCAGGTCTCCCATATGGAAGGGGAGAATTCTATCAATGAACCACCACTGCCTCGTGTGTGGCATACTTAGACTCATAATATCAGATCATTATCATCTTGAGGTAAGAATAATCACTTTTATGAAAGCTTAGAAACCCAGATTGTTTGAAAATTAATGATTGTACCCAAAGAAATAGTTTCCGTCCACTAGCCTGGGCTTCTTGTATTTCTCCAGAGATGAGTGCCATTCAGTAAGTGTTTCAGCACTTGGTTTTTTAAACATTAAGAAAAAATAAATAGATATTTTTTGCTCATTCCCAATAGTCTCTATCAAAAAAGAGTACAAGTCAAAATTAAGGTAGATGGATGTCAGTTAATTTACTTTACGCTCTGCTGCCAATAACTTACACTTTATATACAATGAATCCAGACTGCATTTGAAAATAAAATATAATGTCTGTGAGAACTTTTAAAAAGATCCCTGTGGAAGTCCCACACACAGAAATCCATTTGGTAATAGCATTTAAGAGCTCATGGATCCCTGAGGACCCAGGGAACTTTTACCTTGAATATCCTTTTGGATAGAGAAGAGTAACAGATGTGAAATGAGGAAGCAGAACAATGTCTGTACTGTAAGAGTAGACCAGCAAAATGATGTATGGTAATACTTTCATTCACTGGTTTCATTCAAGTGGAGCGATCTCAATAATGAAAGAGTTTTTTTAGCCCATCTTTTCAGCAATGTATATATTTAGAATTTGATCTATGTGTCCGTCTCTGCTTTTTCAGGTTCACAGCCCAACTTCATATCTCTGCCGACCTGATGGAACCACTTCTGCCTACTTTCCTCCTGTTTTCACAAAGGTCTGACATCTGCAAACCTCATTCTCTGAGTTTGCTTTGGTCCTTAAATTTCATTCATATGTAGCGTTGTGTAAACATTTTTCTTTTTTAATAAAATGAACAGATTAGTAGGGCTGATTATCATAGCTACCTCTACTGTGTTGCTATAACTTTGTGAAGGGCCTGGGTGGTCAATGCCCTGAAAAACCTTAAAACAGAAGGGAGAAGCCAAATCAGGTAGAAAACAGTATAACAGAATACTGCATAGGAAATTGCTTAGGAGATACTAGGAAGTTTAATAGAAATTAAAAAAAAATAAAAGACTTTACGAATTTTTAATTTGTCTGAAGTGGGTAATTTGCATTGCCAGGCTGAATGTAACCCATTTGACTGATCAAATCCTTAACTTTGAAATGGTTCCATGTAGCATTTCTTCTCTCTCTTTCTTTCTTTTTGAGAAAATTATTAAACTGTATTGCAAAATATTTATAAAGACCCAAATAAATGGAGAGATAAACCATCTTGTTGACTACGAGACTATAAAGACTATAAAGAACTCATCATTCCCCAGATTGATCCATAAATTTAATGCAAATCTAGTCAAAATTCCAATAGATTCTTGTTTTTTATTTATTTGTTTAATGTAGAATTTAAAGTTGTATGGAAGAATAAATGTCTAAGAATAGCACTCCTAAAGAAGGAAAATAAGGGAGTGTTAGGGAAGAGGTGGGATTTGCCTTCTGAAGTATCAAAATTTTTTCTAACAGTGTAATTATTAAGGGAGATACACATGTAAGACTAGACAAATTGGCAAGTCAATCGTAAGAGCCCAGAATGATACTCTCACACTTACGTGAAAGAGCTGGCACTGCAGACCAGTGGGGAAAGGAGGAATTCTTCAGCAGAGGTGAAAAAATACTAAATTGCACCTCACAGTTTCACAAAAATAAATTCCAGGACTAAAGACAAATGTGGAAAGCAAATATGTACATGAGGAATTTGAAAGGCAATAGAGAAGAACATCTTAGAGAATGATTTTTATTTTGTCCTAAGGTAACTTCATTAAAGGTCTTTTCATTAAAGGTCTTTTATTTAGGACACAGGCAACAAATGATAATACTAGTCAATAATTTTGATACTGAATGAACAAATACGAATAAATTGAAATAAAATTACAAGTCATTGTAATAGCCAATGAAGACTTTGATCCTTTGGGCAGGAAACATTTACAAAGGAGATAGACACTTCTATTTAGTATATAGTTTAAGAGTGTTGTGCAAGCACATTTGTCATGTCATCTCCAGAAACCCTGTGCTACTTGATATACTGTTATTCAACATAGTTGATTATGAGGATGCCAGAGCCTCTTGGTTTAAGGAAATAAAACTACTAGTGGCATCAAGGAAGGAGAAGAGGACATGAATTACTGCTTTTCCTCACCACAGGGCTTCTCTGTGGGGTGAATGTTAGGCAATTCCTCCTGGGCACTTAGAGAAATCCTCTAAAACTAGATGCAAAACCTTATCCCCCCCCCCCCCCCCCCCGGCAATATGGTTCCTGAGACGGCTATTCTACTAGATATTCCCTCCGGCCCAAAGGCAACTAGGCAGCATTTCTGTATGTTAACCACATAGCTTCATAAAAAGAAAAGTAAAACAAAACTCTGCATTTTTATAAAGCAACATAAAAACAATTTGAAGCTGTATTCACAAGAAGTGCAGAGCACACTCACTGGGCCTCCCCAGAGCCCTGGCCCTTCTGTGTCTGGACTGTGGAGGCTTCTCTGTTTTTTGAAGGATTACTCCTGTCCTTGCCTATATCTGCTTTTCCCTTTTTTCCTTTGGCAATTCTTCTCCCTGCTTTTCACAGACCTTTCTAGGTTTAGAAGATAATCCTGCCCATCTCCTCTGTGACTAAATTGACCTTAGCTTTGTTGCCTGTAGCATCTTCTTTGATTTTTCTCTTGGGCATGATGGTGGCAGTGGGTGGCAGGCAGACTACTGGCTCAGGGTGTGCCTCTATTTCCTTTCTCATATTACTCTGGAAAAGATTCCCAGGTTTCACAGCTGGTCAGTGGTAGAGGAGCTGGTGTGGACTGTGGGACTATGAATGGGATGTGACTATGATCAGAAGATCACCTCTCCCCCACCATGTGACATTTCTTCCCAAATCATTGGACCCTTTAGGAACCACTATGTCAGGTGGATTTGATGAATGACAAGAGATGCCCTTATATGAACCCCACAATACCCAAGAGTCCCAGATACTACCAAGAGCAGACAATCCAGAGTGCCAGGTATAATCGCTAAAGGTTGGCTCTCAGTCTCCTTCAGCTTCCTCATTATGTTCTTACAAGTTCTCCTGTTGTGGTTGTTGTTATGTGCCGTTGAGTCGGATCTGACTCATAGAGACCCCTCCTTGGGTTTCTGAGGTGGTATCACTACAGAAGTAGATTGCCCAACCTTCCTTCCGAGGAGTGGCTGGTGGGTTTGAACCACTAGCCTTCTAGTTAGCAGTCAAGTGCCTTAGGCAAGTTCTCCTAGTGGCTTACTATGTTTATCTGTGGCTTTTGCCAAGATGAAAATGTTTGCTCTCAGAGAAATGAAATTGTAATCCTGAAATAACTATGGAGTTTTGATTGAAGAATTCCTTGGCATCCACTAATTTCCTCAATCTATGACTTTCCAACATTGAACAAAATGCGTAATCCTAGAAAATAAATCAAAGTCTCCTTTGGTGCCTGAAAAAAACTCAGTCATGAAAAGTATTTGTATACCATTTATAATCTACCATGAATGACTTCCTGGACAAGCTAGAAGGCATTTAATAGATTAATCTATAGAAGCTGAATCCACTGAATGACACTTACCCTGCTGTTATACACTAAATTAGCTCTTCTCTGGACCCAATCACCAAGTGAAAATGTATGGAATTAAAACCAGAGCTTTTCTACATTAAAAAGAAAGAAAGAAAGAAATGTGGGGGGAGAGGGGAGCAGAGAATGTAATTGCAATCAGAAGTACTTAATAATCTTAACTCTTTCACTTAAAAAAAGTCTTGTTAAGTACCAAAATCTTATCAAGGGCATTTTCTGACTTCCTAATAATAGTTTTCATGCCATATTACAGACTTGAGATTTCCATAGGGCTTTAGCACACTCACTTGCAAACCATTTGCCCCATGATTTGTTTTTCCAAGGACATCGTTTGTCCCCTTAGAAAATAAAATAACAACAACAACAACAAAAATTTCTTAATATAAATTTATTTGTTTTTGTTTTTGCTCTATATATACTTGATTACTTATTGTGTTTGAATTATTTTAGGTGTTGTACATGCCCTATATGAGATCCAATACTGCATCAGCAGAAGTTTAACAGTCAAAAAGTTTAAGCAGCCCCCTTGCTAGCTAATCCTGAGGAGGAAGATAGAGGATACATGTAAAAGAGCTATTATAAACATTTTGTTTCATGTCATTAATTGCAATCCCCTCAATCTATCAATACTCTTTCCTGTTCCACCCTGGGTTCCCTCTGCCATTTATCCTTCTTTCCTGCCCCTTCCTCCATTCTGAACATTGTTTTGGGGCAAATGCTGCCCTTTTGGTTGATTTTTCTAAGGAGTATGTTTCTCATGGCTGTTCCTGTCACTTTATAGGCCTTACCATTGTTTGGCTGAAAGGTGATCCCCAAGGGTTGCTTCAGGTCCAGATTTGAAGGATGTCTAAGGGCTATAGTCTTAGAGGTTCCCCCAGTCTTTGTAAGACCAGTAAATCTGGTAAGGGAGCTAATTTTAATGATCTGATATTTAATAAGTTTGAAAAATTTACCTCTTTGCATTTATAAAACCAAAATAATTTCTAATCTGTTGGATTACAAAAATTTATTGGTCTGGAGTTGAGGGAGTCAGGTAGAAGGCAACAAGCCAGAAAGGAGGAAATGAAGGTCAATAAGAGAGACGTGCAATATGCTTTATTATTTTACCCAGAACCTCAAAATGAGAAAATACCAAAAACCCTCAGCTTAATAACCCTGGGATAGTTTAATAAACCTGGGCAGAAGTGGTGTGGGAGTACAAGAAAAGGTTGTAACATGTGAAAACAAATGCATGTCTTTTTTTCTCTGCTTATCTAGTTTTTCATAGGAATCCTCATCCATTTGTGGTATAAATGTTTTAAGAAGAAATTTGCATACCACCAGCTTACTTTAAAATGTAGATTGAGAAAGTTGTTACCATAGTTTCATAAATGTGAAAGGGTCAATGCAGATTTGTAGACAAACATTTCTACAGAGTTTATGGTAAACTTTACTGATTTCATTACATGAAGATTTGAAAACCGGATGAAAATCATAAAAAGAAAAAAAAAAGCAGATGATCAATGAATTTAAAGGTGTTTAGCCTTACCTGAGTTAGTGGTAATTATTTATAATACATATTTCATATTTTTTGTATAAGACTTGGAATTTTTGTTCTGTCTTGTGAAGTTGCTTAATAATGTACCAAAGCCTGAGTGGGAGTGTTTTTCTTAAATTTCAGGAACTGCAAAACATAGCAGCATCAGAAGGCCAGGTGGTGGTTCTGGAGTGCCGTGTGCGAGGAGCACTCCCTTTGGAGGTCAAGTGGTTCCGACAAGGCAGTGAAATCCAAGACTCTCCAGATTTCCGGATTCTACAGAAAAGTAAGGGGCACTACCCATGTCCCAGGTCTCCCCATTTTATTCTGTCCTTGGGAAACCCAAGATAAGCTTAGCCATCCATATGAATTGATTTGTATTTTCAAAGACTGGTGAGATCAGGTGACCTGTACCTCTGTTGGGTACAATAAATTAAAGCAGTGGCATTTGCTTGTGGACCTCTTTGAAACTCCAACAAAAATTATATATTTTTTTTTTCCAGAAAAATGCATATATATGTTTCTACTCAAAGTTTTGCAAATAATTTTAGGAGGTTCACAAGCTTCCTGTGGCCCATCCATGAGCTACAGTTTAAAAAAGCTTCTTTGTTTATGGTGTTACTAGAATGTGAGTTTCTATATTAATAAACAAATTTATCCACTATCACATAAGCAGTCCCTGGGTGGTGCAACTGGTTAAGTGCCTGGCTACTCACCTTGGTGGTTCGGACCCACCTGGAGGCATTTCACAAAAAGTCCTGGTCAGCTTTGAAAATCTATGGAGCACAGTTCTACTTTACTTACCTGGGATCACCACTGTTGTTGTTGTTGTTGTTGTTATGTGCCGTCAAGTCGAAGCCGACTCATAGCGACCCCTCCTTGAGTTTCTGAGGCGGTATCACTACGGAAGTAGATTGTAGATTGTGGGATCACCACTAGTCAGAATCAACTCAATAGCAACTGCTTTTTTTGTGGGTTTGTTTGGTTGATTCATTTATTATCATCATACCCACCTCTTTTATATTATGGAGTTTGTCTCTGTAAACATGTCTTTGACAAGATAATAGAAAAGTATAGGTAGGTTTATTGTCATTAACGTAACCCCACTCTAATGCTTTGTTTTGGTTTATTTTTTTCATATGGTGAACAGAACCAAGATCTACAGCTGAACCTGGTAAGAATCTTTTCCCTCCCTCCCTCTCTCTCTCTCTCTCTGTCTCTCTCTCTCTCTGTCTCGTAATGTACCTTTTGGGCTTCAATCGGTCTTTGTTTCTCTTTTAAAGCCATAAGCAGAACAATGTTTTTGCAATTCCCTGGAAATGTGAAACCCCCTTAAAGACAGTATCTTCTTTTTCATGGGGTCTGTATACTGCTTTTTACATCAACTTCTTTATTAGTAAAACATTAAGTTGCATTTGGACAAGAAGGTCAAGCTCAGTGACGAGACTTTTTAACGTATATTCTTTTATACCCAGAAAGCAAACTAAGCTAATGATGAAAAAACACCCTCCAAAATTCCAGTAGAAAAAATCCTGCATACTTCTATAGACCAAAATCCACTAACAACGAGACTGCCAGCTTAGAAATTGTGTCTCAAATGAGAGCAGCCCAAAGATGTACGCAGAATTGACACCCAGGCATTTCTCATTTATGTGCTCTGAACCATAAACTTTTACTGTGCTACAAACATGAAGAAAGTCATCTTGCCCTAGGATCTCTCTTAATTACCAGGTCATCTGACCTCATCAGAGTGCTATGTTATCCAGAAGCATGGTGTCCAACTGTGTTACAGCCTCAAGGTTCTTGTATATTTATGATTCCTCATGGACCAAAGCGGTCTTCTGAAAGAAAGCAAGAATTCTAGGCATTTCATTGTATGTCCTCCTCAAGGAAACTTTCTTTTCTATTTTTTCCATTAGTAAAGTCACTGGTTTCATTTATTTCTTGCCAAAATTGTAGAAAAATAAGTCATTTTCCTGTTTCTGCTGTCTGTGCCTCTACTTCAGCATCAGTCAGATCCTGCCGAGTGCCCTGTGGAGCCCTCACCTTGCTCTGTCCCCTTCTTCGGGGACTTGAAGGTGCTCTGTGGATGACTGCAGGTCAGATTACTGCAGCCAGTTCCGGATCTCTCACATCTGAGCGTTGGTTCTTTAGAAGCAGAGTGTGAATCTTATTAAGATCCAGAATTTAAGGGATGCTGAGTAACATCCTTAGGGACTCTCTGGAATTGATCTGGTGCTTTCTTGTCATGAGTTACAACTAGAGCATGTCTCCCTCACTTAGTGTGTTAGTCACCACATCAAACACTGTAGCCACTTTCCAGACTGTGGAAACAGAGAACTCCATATTTTGTCTGTGATACATCTTTGCATAAAATTGCGTAATGCTAGCTAGCTCCTTGATACATGCAACTTCAGTGATTAAATCTACTGCACAGTCTAATGTGGAAACCCTATAAAGAATGAGGGCCAGTCTTTTGCATTTACTATTTTCAGTAGATACAGATTGGTAGAATCACTGGGTAAAGCAAACAGTTTAGCTCTCAGCTACTAACTAAAACGTTGGCAGTTCAAATCCACCCAGCAAGGCTTCAGAAGAAAGTCCTGGTGAGCTACTGCCAAAAGATCACGGCCGTTGAAAACCGTATGGCATGCAGTTCTACTTTAACACACATGAGGATAGCATGCAAGTCAGGATCTACTCAACGGCAACTGGTACAAGTTGGTAAATATAAAAGTAGTTGCCGAAATTCCCTGTTATAAGCAGAAATAGTTTATTATGTGAAGAGAAATCTATAAAGCAGTTTATATCTTTTGAAGCTTTTTATACAAAAAAACAAAAAACACACTCACTTCCGTCGAGGCAGATCCGACTCATAGCGACCCCTCCTTGGGTTTCCGAGGCAGTATCTCTACGGAAGTAGGTTGCCCAACCTTCCTTCTGAGGAGTGGCTGGTGGGTTTGAGCCACCAACCTTCTGGTTAGCAGTCAAGTGCCTTAGGCACTACGCCATAAAACTAAAATCTTTGGCCAAAAGTTCTGAAAAACATAATTGCTATTGGAATAGATTAAGTTTGGTTTCAAAGTTGCCATTTGGATTCTGAGCAAATTCATGTAACTCTTTTTGCATCATATCGTTGTCTGTTGTCATCATCTACATAGGTTATGATGATTTATTAAATGTCTTCTATGATTTAGATGGGAAAATCACAAACCTACCATCATCTGAAAATTTGAAACATTGCTCAGAAACTGCATAGTTTAGTTTTGAGTATGTGCATGTTTGAAAATTGAAAACTGTTAAAATACAGAGGAGGAATAAATTTGGGTGAAGGAGGGAGAATGGCAAGATCTGCTACCTTCCACTCCCTTACCTTCCACGCTTACACCACAGGTATGCCTCAGGTTTCATTTATAGTTTGCTGTTTTGCTTCTAGAATATAGTTTTGATCATGAACATTTTAATAAAATTATCCCTATATAGTTGCAGAGAATAACCTGAATTTGCTTAAGATGCCCCGGTGACACGATGGTTAAGCATCTGCTGCTAACAAATGAAAGACTGGCAGTTTGAACTCACCCGGCAGTACCACGGGAGATTGACTTCTGTAAAGAAAGCAGCCTAGAAAACCCTACAGGGTAATTTTGTTCAGTCACATAGGGTTATTGTGAGTCAAAATTGACTTGGCAGCACCTAACAACAAATAGCAACAGAATTTATTTAAAGGCCTTTTGGTTTATGGTGCCAAAATTGTCAAGAAAAGAGCAAGATATGGTAGACCTTCCTTTTAAATCATAAATCCTAGCAATGCATAGAATTTTTTTTTTCTATATACATTGGATGAATTTTCCTATTTTTGTTTTCCCTGTTAGTTTGATCTTAAAAGCATTTTAAAAAAAAACAGAAAATAATTCCAGGCATAATACCATTTGCTAAAAACAAGGATTTCTTGGAAGAAAAAGATTTTAAGCAAATCTGGTGATACAATATGTGTGTGTGTGTGTGTATACACACACACATATATATATGTATATTCAAGAGGTGGGAGCTCTGGTAGCATAGTGCCTAAGGCACTTGACTGCTAACCAGAAGGCTGGCAGTTCAAACCCACCAGCCACTCCCCGGAAGGAAGATGGGGCAATCTACTTCCATAGTGATACTGCCTCGGAAACCCAAGGAGGGGTCGCTATGAGTCGGGTCCAACTCCACGGCACGTAACAACAGCAACAACAGTCAAGAGGTATTAAACATAAAGCACAACTAGTTTTCCCCTAATCTCTGATCATGTTTCTACAATTATATTTTCCAAGACAACACTAGAATAATACTAGAATTCCTGCTTTCTCTTTCATGGTGAAACATTAAAATGCTCTGCTTCAGGAAATCTACAATTGGCACATAGAGTTCAATAAAATCCATGATCGTATTTTTAAAACACAGCAGTTTGAAGCACGTGAATAAATCTTCAAGTGACTGCTTATGTGAGCTGCTGTGTAAGAACTTCAGAACAAAGCAAATGTTAAAACATATTTGTATTTAAACAATGTTTTGGCATGCCTGACAAAACTAGATATGATTCTTTTCCTAGTAGCCAAACGTTTTCCTTACATTGACCTTGAAGTTGCTATGTCAGGAGGAAAAATAAGTTGGACTCCTGTTTATTTTCCTTAAATGATCTGAGTGACTTATATCTAGTGGACCATTGAACTATTTTCCTAGTTGTTAGGGATTATCTGATGAATTCAGCCATATAGAATGTATGCAGGAACTGGCTTTCCTGAGACCTGTTTTTAGCCACTGTCAAGTGAAAAAGAGAAAAACAGACATGAGTACAATACATCTGAGGCAAGAGATAAATTTTATAAGACTAGATCAGTGATGTTTTCCAAAGGTGAACATAAATAGCCTTTCAAATTCAGGAAAATATTTGAGCATTCACATTTTATTACTCTCTTCCAACCCTCTTCTCTTCCTCTGACTTACTCTTCCTCTCTTCTCTCTAGCTGACTGGCTGGATGGCTTCCCTTCCTCCTTCCCACTCCCTCTCTTCCTCCCTCCCTTTTTCCTCCTGCTCCCTCCCTCCCTGTCTCATCCTCCCTCCTTCTCTCACCTTCGTCTTTTAAATCTCTTTTTTCTGTTCTTTTTCTCTGTCCTTCTTTTTCTTAGCCATGTGCAAGATGTTTTAAAGCTCTAGAAATAAAATTAAAACTCACTCTTTAGAGAATAGATATTTAGATAAGGAAGGAAATAGCAGATTCCCTCCCAATGCATTTATACAACCAAAACAGGTTTTTCTTGTCACTACTGAGTTGTATCTGTCTAATGTGTTTTACACTCCCCTCTCTGTCTAGACAGAAGTCAGCTTGCATCACAAATCTTTTCAGACTGTTTTGTGAATTAATAGCTAGTCAGCTCACTTAAGACCAACATCCGTTTGTCATATTACCTGCTCTGGGCTTCTTTGACAATCTGACTACACACTGATTGGATCCTTCAAAGACTAGCCAGGGGGAGGGGGTGGACACGTAGGAGACTCATTTGACAGCTGTTAATGCTCAGGCTCTTACTCAGCTGTCTGGAAACAGCCACAAACTGTATTGAGTTACTTCTGTAGCATTGTCTAATGGCATGTGTCTTAGTTATCTAGGGCTGCTATAACAGAAATACCACTAGTGGGTGGCTTTAACAAACAAATTTATTTTCTCACTGCTTAGGAAGTTAAAAGTTTGAATCCAGGACACCAGCTCTAAGGGAAAGCTTCCTCTCTTTGTCGGTTCTGGGGGAAGATCCTTGTTTCTCCTTAGCTTCTGTTCCTGGGCAATCTTCATGTGGCTTGGCATCTCTCTTCCCCCACCTCCGCTTGCTTACTTCCTTGTTTAATCTCTTTTATATCTCAAAAGAGATTCACTCAAGACATACCCTACATTAATCCTGCCTCATTCAAATAGCTAAAACTACGTGTTCACAAATGCGATTATAACTGCAGGCGTAGAGGTTTGGGTTTAAAACACACATTTTGGGGCACATAATTAAAGCCATAACAGCATGAAAAATTAGGGAAAAAATGACTTGTTGGGCACTTATGAAAGTATAGAATCTCCCACTTTCAATATGAATTTCTGTTGGCCAATGCAACCCATGTTAGATCTTGTACAGTAGTTGCCATGTTTTGTT